CAGGGGGAGGGAGGGGGGGGAGGGGAGGGAGAAGCCAGTGATGGTCTGAGGAAGGAAGAAAAAACCCACACACTATTAGCAGGAACAGCCTCCTTCGCTGACTGGCTGCTCTTGAGGCTTTTCAAGTTTGATGTCAATCACTGGAAAAGAGAAGTTAAGGGAAACGAAAAAACGAACCGCCTGCCAGCTCCAGCTTCATTAATGGTCCTGGCACACAGGAAGAGCCTGTGGCACCGTCCCTGCGACGAGGCCCCAGCTCAGAGCGCAGACAGGGCGGCTGGCAGAAGCCCCGCTTCCTCCCCCCCGGCCCGTTCAGAAATGAAGGGCTTGGAGGAAGAGGGAGCAGCGAGCAGCCCCAGCAGAGCCTTCCCAACCGCCAACGGAGTCTATCTGCACTTCAGGAGAACAGCTCAAGATTGCAGACCCCACTCGCCGTGGGGTTCGTGGCCACAAGCGACCCCGGGATCTCCTGACTCTGAATTCCCTCCCCTTCAGCTGACCCTCAGCAGCGTTCCAAGCATCAGCCGGGGGTGACGAGGGGAACCTCAGCAGGCTTTTTATACAGAGAGGGCCGTGAAGAATCAGCTTCCCCCATCTGTGGGGCATCGTTGCTGGGGCTACGTAAGACCAGAAAGAGGTTCTGCTGGCTGCAGGACGGCACTCTCCCCCCCATGCCAAAGTGGACTTCGATGTCTTCCTTGGCGTAGCTTATCGGATCAGTTTGACTTAACAAAGCCAAGTTGGGGGCCAGGCAACAATTTCCCCACGGGCAAATTTACTTGTGAATTCCAAAGCAGTCTGCATCGCCATCCCAGTTCCCATCTTCAGCCCAGCCGTCCCTTTGGAAAAGCTGCTGAGCGGCCCAAGCGTTCTGCCTGGTTTTCTTACTCTGCCGTTCAGCCGCCACAGCTGCAAGACAGGCGGCCCTGCTTCACCCGCCAAGAGTGGGCAAAAGGATACTGTCTTCTCTGCTTTTGTCCTGCGTGCTCTCCATTCCAGGCAAAGCAGCGGCCACGCGTCGGAAAAGCTGAGGGAGGAAAAGGAGAGAGAGAGAGAGATAAAAGATCAAGAGTGAGCAGCGCGAGAGGGCAAGGACACGGCATCCTTGCTTCAAGGCTCCGTCCCATATTTCTACCCAGGATGAAGCAGCTGCATTCAGGCCTTTGGAAAACACCTGCGTCCAACGAAAAGCAAAAGCCAGCCCACTTCATTTTAATGAAACGTATCACGGGAAAGGAGTCAACTGCTCACTCCTTAATTCAGAACTGTATTGCCCAGAGAATTGCTTTCAGGACTCCAGGAAATGAGCTATCAGTTTAGAACCCTTTTAACAGCTGTGCCAGCGAAGACACGGAAGCGTAAGAGGGCTGGAAGAAACAGGTAGGCGGAACGCAAGTGGCCATCAGGTATCTATCGAGCGGGAGCAGCGAAGCCACTGCCTCTCAACCGTCTCTTTTCACCCTCATCACTTCCCTCACTCCAAGAAAATAAAGAGCTGCTTGGCATTGCAAAGAGTTCATCAGAGTTCACCTCTGCCATGATAAAAATATATAACACACTATTAAAGAAGCAGATGTGAAAGCTGGAAGTTATGAGGAGATGTGCAGAGGAAACACCAGTTCTTGTTTATATAACAAAAGACTCTTCATTATTCTAGTAATAAAATGATGCATTTATTTTGACTTTGACAGCCAGATGGGATGATAACATTCCCCTTCTCCAGCCTCATGGCAGGCTTGTTTATGTACCAGTCATTTAACATTTAATGTTCTGCAGTGACTAGCTGAATTTGTTATTTCTGTTTGGTTTTTGCATGGTTGCTCCAAATAAATTTCATTTGGCTACCATTCTCCAGCTTCCTCCTGTTGGTGAAGTGTTAAGCTTATTAATGCCTTTCACTCCAAAGTTCAACACCATGGGCCAAAAGCCCTTTTACCCTGCTCAGAAAATGCTGTTGTCCTATTTACAGTGGGGCAAAAAAGTATTTAGTCAGCCACCAATTGTGCAAGTTCTCCCACTT